GAGTTTAAGCCACCAGGTCCAGGACTTGAACTGTGGTCGACTACATGGGAGTCCAGCAACATAGCTATTATGCTAACTGCTGGTCCCTGGAAATTTTTATAAATAAACAAAATTTAAAATAAGAAGCTTAAGTGGCTGGCAGGTGGAGTAGTGGTTAAGGTGCTAGATTCCCACCTGGTAGACCATGGTTTGAGTCCCAGGCCTGGTGACTTGCTTTTGCACTTTCTCTCTCTTTCTTTCTCTGTTTCCCTCTCTAGTCAAATTAAAAATTATAAATAAAAAATATATAAAGTTAAATAAAATAATTATTTAACAGCATCAACAACAAAAACACCCGTAGAGGTCCCAGGGCTGAGGCCAGCGTGGCTGTGAAAATGAGCTGTTTCTGAGCTAGTTGGTAAACCGTCACTGTCCCAAGTGCCACCTCCCTTGGCATACTCCAGCCCCCTCTCCCCATCCAGTAGCTGAAGGGTGATGCTGGGCATGAAAAGGGGCCCCTGGGACTCTGTAGCAGGGTGAGTTCACAGAAAATGCTTCTTCAAAATGAGCTTAAGGAGTCACGTTCTCAGAGCTACTGGCTTTTGCTAGCAGACCCCTGAGAAGGGCCAGGTGTCCCTGGCCAGGATGCTTTCCAGGTGTGCCGACAGGTGACAGAATTAAGATCCGAGGCCAGAAGCTGTCTCCCCAGGAAGCCAGCACCCTAGGTGTATCTGCATAGGGTTCAGGAGTGGAGGGGTCACACAGCAGGAAGGTCAGGGGCTGCGGGGACTGGGGGACCGGGACATGCAGGGTGGCACGGCCCGGCTCCTGTCGAGTTAGTCACCTGGGAAGAGAGTGGCCATGTAAGCAGATGGCCAGTGAGCAGCGTACCTGAGCAGCTCCTCTGTCAGACCACCTCCGTGCTAAGACAGGTGAGCCAGCAGTCAAACCCCTGCCCTCGGGAAGCTCGCCTTCTAGCAGCGGACACACGGTCCACGGGAATGAGTACGCTGTGGAGCAGGCTGATGCCGTGTAGACTGGAGCCGGAGGGACAGAGATCAGGGGGTGCTGGGGAGGCTGCTTGTGGAGGGCCTGGTGGCTCCTGCTAAGACTTGGCTTTGTAAGTGAGCTGAGGCCCTGCAGGGCTCAAGGCCACAAGCAATGTGATCTCACGTACACCCGAGCAGCGGCGCTCCGGCCCCCATGCCGAGTGGGAGCAGACACTTGTTCAGAGGAGCATGGCAGGGACAGGGATGGAGGTGGTGCACGTGGGTAGATGCCAGGCCAGCTCTGAAGGCAGAGGGAGCCCTGGACAGACTGGAAAACTGGGGTGGCGGTGGGAGAGAGGAGGCAGGAGGGGAACCATCCCACCACCAGGACACAGCAGCCACTTCCTGAGGTGGGTGTGGGGCTGATGTCCCGGCAGTCAGTTCTGGGCATGTAACGCTGGAGACGCTCCCTGGGTGTCCAGGCGGGGCTGTCGAGTGGGCTGTCGGGATCTGGGTCTGCGGCTCTGTGGAGGAGTGTGAGCTAAAGTCGGAGGTCTGG